AAATGACATGAATATATTACCATATGGCAGTCACACAGTACTCCGAGTTCTCATATTAATACGAACCACAACGCCACGTCTTTACTCGCGAGCAAGGATCTGTGCATGCCGCTTACTGAAATGTCAGATACCTCTTGTCAATTTCCATAAACTGGTAATTAAATACTATAGGTCATACGGCAAGGTAATTACAAAAGAGCAACGCATGTAAATTTCCTCCATGTTAATCGATTGTATCCACATGACTAAACTTGGTGTCGACCTTGCTCGTTATTATTTTCGCCGTGGTCTTTGCACGGGTTCCATTGAAGTGTTTTTAACGACCGCAATATATTGTCACTTTCTATCAATTTGACAATTATGTATTCACACATGTTTTTTCTGTAATCTTTTGGTGTTGATTCGGGCTGATGCAATACGTCAGTTGCAATATGTCAACAGTGACAGGATAAAACAATCGGTACAGGCTTGTTTAACGATACGGGGGAACTGCGCAGGAAATTGATAATCACGGGTTTACTGAAACGACTGAAATGGACAGGATGTTGTGCTAGATATAGTCTAATTTCAAAATGAGTTTTCGTAAAAACACCGACGTCCTTTGGAGTGGATTGGACATTGGCATTGCCGCTACCGGAAAACAGTGTACAGCCGCGAACAGTGACGGACCGTACTCCGAATAGTACTGCAAATACAGTACAGTAGCTACTGATACTACTACCACATCTGCTCCTGCTCTCACTGCTGCTGCTGCTGCTGCTGCTGCTACTGCTATTGCGACTAAACGTACTGTGCTACAACTACTGCTACCACAATCACTACCACTGCATCCGTCATCACTACAACAACTGTTACTGCTACCATCGCAACTACCACTGCATCAGTCATCACTACAACTGTTACTGCTACCATCACAACTACCACTACCACTGCATCCGTCATCACTACAACAACTGTTACTGCTACCAGATCACTACCACTGCATCCGTCATCACTACAACAACTGTTACTGCTACCATCACAACTACCACTGCATCCGTCATCACTACAACAACTGTTACTGCTACCAGATCACTACCACAATCACTACCACTGCATCTGTCATCACTACAACTGTTACTCGCTACCAGATCACTACCACAATCACTACCACTGCATCCGTCATCACTACCACGACAACTGTTACTGCTACCATCACAACTACCACGACTACTGCTAACGTCATCACAACTACAACTACTACTGGTAACACCATCACAACTACCACTGCATCCGTCATCACTACAACAACTGTTACTGCTACTAGATCACTACCACAATCACTACCACTGCATCCGTCATCAGTACAACAACTGTTACTGCTACCAGATCACTACCACAATCACTACCAATGCATCCGTCATCACTACAACAACTTTTACTGCTACCATCACAACTACCACTACCACTGCATCCGTCATCACTACAACAACTGTTACTCGCTACCAGAACACTACCACAATCACTACCACTGCATCCGTCATGACTACAACGACAACTGTTACTGCTACCATCACAACTACCACGACTACTGCTAACGTCATCACAACTACAACTACTACTGGTAACACCATCACAACTACCACGACTACTGCTAACACCATCACCACTACAGGTAAGGTGAAATGGGATGTAACGTCGCATTAAAGAGTATTGCACCTACATAGCGACGTGCATGTCCCATAATTTAACGTCTTCTGGTATGACGCGTCCGGGGATCTAACTCACGACCTTTCACTCTCCGGGCAGACGCTCTACCACTAGACCACGGAGGCGGTCCCATCACCACTACAAGTACTATTGCCAACACCAACACTTCCTACACTACCAGTACTACTGATACAACCTCCGCCACTCGCAAGACGGTAACCATCATAATTAGCACTGCTTTTGTTCCTCCTTCCCCACCCCCCTTCTCCTCCTTCTACGACAAGCCATCTTTAGGGATTCCAGGGAAGACAAGATCCACGCAATATCACGAGACAACTGCCATATGATAGACCCTAGCTGTTTGACAATGCACGGAAACAGTAAATGTGTAATTTACTGAGGAAAACTTTGTTTCGAATTTAGCCTTGTATTACCATAGTACAATGTCAAAGAACAAACATACACAACACGATGCCAGCATAACCACACTAACAATAAGGAAATCAGCTTCACAGTGAGGACGATTCTTGGAACAGACACGCCTAGAACACTGGAACTGAATAAATGGTTAGACACAGCCGATAACAACACGTGGATGCCATCTTCGTCAAAAGTATGGGATTAACTGACACTATAACGGTGATACTTTGTAAGTCAATAAGACAATAACAGTGCGTGGTCTTTAGAATGGGGATTCTTGCACAATAGAGCGATGCTGTTTTGTAAGACAATGGATCGAATATACTGTGTTACACAACGAATGGTGATGCTTTAATTTGTAAGGCAATTTGGATTGTTCGACACAGACGCCCGTGGGTGGGGGGTGGGGGTGGTTGGTGGTTGTGTCAATGCACCATTACCACTGCTCAGTTTGGGTGCATGTAGGAGTTAAATGGTGTGAACGAAAATAAATACCTAATTGTTTCAAATTAAGTTTCAATATACCCCCGAACAGCGACTCTCGACTCGGACCTTCCTACGTTTCGAACGGTTTTATGGTAGACATGTTGAGGACATTCTCATATTTGACGCAGTGACAAAAATGATAACTGATACAATTTTCTATTTTGACTATCATATTTTCTCTGGGTTTTTTTTTCAGGTGTACAATTGACTTGTCTTTGCAAGTGTTTGTGTCAGGTGCCACCGATGAGGGAGAATACGTCATCTTTTCGCGAACACCTTGTATCATCACCATTTGAAAGTGTTTATTAAATAATAATCTCTACAATACATTTATTCAAAGCATTTTAGTTTTTAATGTCCACTGCTGGCAAGGGAGACTGTCTGTTCAAATAAAATTAGCACAGTAAGCAAAATCTCAGGTGCCCAATTTCAACACATCGGCGAAATTTATGAGCAGGAAATTGTCAAAAAGGCGAATTTACTTTTTCTAGAATATCAGTTTCTACCTTCTAGTCGCCAACTTCGCTTGCCGATGCTAAAAATCATTGGAAATCATTCCTATCAGCCAGTATTAGTTTTTTAAATGAGTATCTATCAGTTTGATACCTTTTAACAGTTCGCTGTATACAAATCTTATCCTGACATTTTCCCTTTTTTGCTGTGATATATATACATATAATGTACTTTTTAAATACCATACCTTGTCTCACTAAAGGCTGTAACGGGACGCAATATTCTTTTACAACGGAGCACAAAACAAATACAGTATGTCAACCCTAGGAACACTTATATGAATACAAGATGTGCTGAACACCATGAGTCTTACGTGTGAGTCGGGTTTAACGCTGCTTTTAACAGTATTCCAGTTATATCACGGCGTGTCAGCTTAATGGTGGAGGAAAGCCCGAAGTGATGCAGGTCACATCGGTAAAACCAACGAGCATGAGTATGGTGCTGACAAACCTAGAAACATAATCGGGACGAACCGGGATTCGAACCCATAATCATGGGTTTTTGGATTGCCCAGGGGACGCAACTCTTCACAGCGAATCGCGGGGCCTTTTACGACTGGGCCACACGTGCCCCCCACCTCCCCCTCCAACACCACGAACACGTGGTGCACATGATGTATGTGAATTTAAGATGCACGTGATGAACACACTATATCTGTGAGCACCAGCGGTAGAGCGTCCGCCCGGCCGTTTCATAGCAGAAGACGTTAAAAGATGGTACTTGTTGTGACCCTGTCTAGCGCTCGGCATTAAGGGGCTAAAACAAGGACTGGTCGGCCCGGAGCGAGTATACTGTGTCTGAGTGGGGCATTCATGTTAAACTGTGGCATGGTATCTCAGTGGGCTGGCACTATAAATCGGCATCAGTCTGGACTAGTACAAGCAGCCACACACACACACGTGCATGTACGGCGCTATATAAGTGCAATATTCTTGGACGCGACGTTAAACCCCATTTCACCTCACCTCACCTCTTTTAAGAGATTCCCCAGGAGACAAAGGTGATAATCGTCCGCGTTATATGTGCGTCAAGAAAGAATACCCAATCGAGTTGTATTGGCACCGGAATGGCCATATAACTGTGATGCTCAACCTGGCTTAGTGTACAGTCGTACCCCAACGACCACTCGAAACTCACTTCGTCGCACCCTGGGATACAAGTGTGTTATCCGCTATTAATCTGTATAGTGGAATTGCTGTGCGTCTCACAGTAAGCCGGTTTACTCTAAATGAGTTTCACTGATCGTTCCTCGTAAAATGGTTATAAAATGACACTGATATTCCATTTGACGTTAGACTTGTATTAATGTCGGTGTGTGGCTATGATGATCGGAAGCTATAGAGTCATACTGTGGAAATTATTGAGAAGTGAAGAATGCATGGAAAACTGGCTTTAGAAATTTTACTTGAAGCATGTTAGAATCTTAAATCCAAACTACATAAATACTGCATATCGATAAATGTTTCAAAATTTCAGTTTAATTTATTTTACAAAAAAAAATGTCATATGCATCTGAGTGAGTGAGTATGGTTTTATGCCGCTTTTAGCAATATTCCACCAATATTGCTGCGGGGGACACCAGAAATGGGCTCCATACATTGTAGCCATGTCGGGAATCGAACCCGGGTCTTCGGCGTGACGAGCGAACGTTTTAACCACTAGGCTTCCCGACCGCCTCGATATGCATCTGAAGATTGCATAGCGTGTCTCAATACATGTGCATATAAAATTCGTGTTGCACATCAGATATTTGACGTGTGGCAATCAATTAAGTGATATAACTGGACACGGAAAGTCATAATAACTTCTAAGAACAAATTTATATTTGAATATGATATACTATAAGCCTGACAAGTTATTTCATAAAAAGTAGCTGGATAGGACACACTTACCCGAGTGGCACTCCGTGTTCTTTGAGGCCGCCGACAGGAACGTCATCAACCACACTGTAACAATCATAGGAGAAAGATGTAAGTATCAACATCCGAGCTAGCCTACTTCGTAATACGTCGCTATGGCAACCATCAGACGCCGGGCTGTCAGCGTGTCATGGTGCTATGCAGTATTCTGTAGTATCATTCATGGGCCTTGGCTTCTTTCTGTTTCCCGTGCGTATGTGTGGCCAAGCCGAGAGGCCGACTTCATATAGGTCACGGCTCAAGCACTTGCAGTGTAGGGAGCTTGCAGCGTTACGCAATATGTTGCCTGTGTGGGTCGAAGTTCCGCGAAGATGATAACGTTTGTCTCCTCCGTAACTTCTCCTCACCTCCTCAGGGAAACAAAGATGACTTTTTATGGCAATATGTGGCAGATTACAGATCTGTTTTGAATACGCTTCAATTAAAACTGGCAGCTGGGTGGTCACCTCATCTGCCGCGGCGCGTGCTGTGAATGCTAAGACTGGCGATAGTATATACATCAGCGTGTTCCCATTCTGCCCCTGCGAATTGGAATGCATAAACTTTTAAACCATTACATTGACTAGTGGTTATGAATCATGCAAGTATTTCTCTGTGATGTAATACCTCATCAGGAAATAGGGCCATAAATCACGAGAAGAGCTTGCAATAAAGTAAAGAACTAAACACAGCTAATGTCTTTGATCCTAATAGTTGTGTATTTAAGCACGGGATTCACTGCGTGTAATTCAAATTACACTGGAGACCCTGCAATATGAAACAAACAAATCTTTACATCTTTTTTATGACCTTTCCAAATCCTTACTAAATTGACTTCAACGAGAACCGGAAGTATATGGACCGAAAACGGATACGAGGTGCTTGGCTGGATCCTCTCTTGAAATCTTTTCAATTTTGGAAATAATCATGAAAAACAGACACTTACTAAAGTCTCAAACCAGACCAATGTAAAATATCGGTTCGATTGATTCTTCTCCAATTGATCGCGAAGGTCCAGGACTTAACAGCTAAATACCGCATTCAGTCTCCTTACATAACGCCCCGAAACACAAGTCGATGCTGGGTCGAGACCAAAGAAGTAATCACGATCGCTTAAAAGCCCACAAATGGTTTTGAATTATCACTAAGCAGCACCAAGTCAGAAAGAATATTCAACGTGAATGCACAAGGACGCTTGAGAAAACAGCAGTGAGATTCCTCTCCGCCGCAGCTGAGGTTCCCGACCGGACCCGAACGACAATGTGCACGGTACAACTGTTGCTCTCTTGCAGAATGAACGGCACCGGATATCGAACCGTTTTATGGTAATAGATTCCAAGCTGATTTACGACAAAAGATGATTGAAATCACACTGTGAGGTTTAACTGACGGAGTCGAGCGAAGCCCTGCTGTTAGCGACAACCTGTGTTCAGAGCGAACGCCGGCGATTCCCCAGCGACAACTGCCTGAGATGTGACACCGAAAATTGAATAGAATAAAACGCTGGGCTATATATAGTCTATATTATAACAATGCTCTACGTAGCTGTATGAGTCTTGCCAATTGCACGAAACAATTCACGTCGCGTTCTTGTAAAATCTTATTGAAAATAAATTAGGGTGTTTCGAGTAAGGAATACGCATGTGTCTTTCTCGTGAGGGGCAATATTGTCTGAGAAGATGATTTTGAGAGTTGCGTCCCTTAGCCGTGCAAGGATCAGCTAATACTGGGTTCGTATCCCAGATTCGCCCAGATTCCAACATGTCAAATAGTACGTCTCTGATTCAACGCTTGTCTCCTCTGCAACTTCTCCTTACTTCATCAGGAAAACAAAGGCGACTTGTTTATACAGATATATAACATAAATCGCAAAGGACAATGAAGAAAGAAGCGTGTTTATTTCAAGATAAAACATTGTTTTATGTGGACGTCATTTCTGGAGACTCGGATATGCGCTTGCAATTTGACTACGTCATATATTGGTCGACGTTTTTTTTAAGAGGGAGGTTTCTGTTAAGTTGTTACCCATAAATGTAGCTGGGCCGAACGATCGCATCCAAAGGTTGCAGAGATATGACAATCGTTAGTGGAAGAAAAGGTACAGATGACCGATGTGACGATTGTGGGAATGTGCGGGAAATACCAAACTTAACCCACCTGTTCGTAAAATGGTCTATAATACATACCGTCAGAAAGATGTATACCAATACACCCTTACATACCGTCAGAAAGGTCACCAACACATCACAACGTACAGCCAGAAAATCTATAAAGATTAGCCATACGTACTGCCAGAAAGATGCATACTAACATATTCCTACGAAGTTCATAGCCATAATAGTTTATGGTTGATTTTGCAGGACGATTGAAGTCATATTTTCATAGTAAATAAAACCGACAATATCCTATCCATAATTATAAGAAATCTCAAGCAGGGTCCACTGAACTATTCCAACTAGATATAAAACATGTGTTAATGAATCACCTTCAAATAACGTTCCTACCAGGTATTCGCGAAAGATGAACGAATCCTGTCCCATCTGTTGCACCTGTTGCAAACTCCCCGTTTTAACTTGTACCCGTATTTTATCAAGTGAACACTGCACTTGCCTGTCCATGTGTTTGCGATGGCTGTCACCAGCTGGGCAGGATACACCCATCTTTTCGCGAACTCCTCGCAACCACAAGCTGGGGAATTTACACAATGAGCTGTCAAATCCATGTCCCCGATTGGGCAACTTGGATGAGATGGTGTGTTCCTATAGGAAAGTAACACTGTTGGTGGTTCCCGAATATTATGGGACCTTTGGGGCAACTGAGAATGTTCCTTAATACCCCTTTGCAAATTCTGGAACATGAGGTCTTTTTCTGGTATAGTGGCTGAACGTTTCAAAGTATCAAGAACTACACTCTCTGGTCCATACTGTGGGATCTTACTGTTTGTTAACCCGTTCATCAGCAAAAAAATTGTTGGAGTCGTTTGATTTCTTTCAACAAATGTACCACATCGATGGTGTCACTTGGCATTCGTACTTTCTTGTGACCATGGCTGCGGCTGCATCTTTGAGACGCCGGAAACAGACACAATAGGCTGATGTTGTCAGTTCTTTGGTAAGAAAAGTCTTTTATTTTGCCATTACATCAACATGACATTGCTGAACACAACAGTCGAATCATAGGAGTTTCTCTAGACATCCTATAAGTGCGACTGCTTTAAAGCTATCAGACAGATGGTCTTTTTTCCCATAGCCTTCCTTAAATGCAAAAGATGGAGTGAATTTCAGAATTGAAATGTTGGTATTCACAATTAGAAATATTTCTTTTGATGCCGATATATGCTGGCTGACTCGTTTAATCAATGCCATACACAAACACGCTTTCAGTTTGAAAGGACAGGTATTTAGAAGGTTTGTGCAGTATGCTTTTGCTGTAAAGTTAATTTTCAATTCAGGAGCTGTTACCAAAATAAGACAAGTTTTGCAATGCTTTCTGCCTCAAGATTTGTTTTTTTAACGCAAAATTCCAGCTATATGACGGCGGTATGTAAATAATCGAGTCTGGACCAAACAATCCAGTGATTGACATCATAAGCATCGATCCACACAATTAGGATACGATGACATGCATCAACCAATTCAGCGAGCCTGACCACCCGATCCCGTTAGTCGCCTATTACGACAAGCATAGTTGACTTTTACATCAAGCATGGGTAGCTGAAGACCTATGTCTGAAACATGAGTGAGTGAGTATGGTTTTACGCCGCTTTTAGCAATATTCCAGCAATATCACGGCGGGGTACACCAGAAATGGGCTTCACACACTGTAACCATGTCGGGAATCGAACCCGGGTCTTCGGCGTGACCCTACCTCCGCTCTGCCACATGAAGAAAAATTGCATGGAGAGGGGTTCGAAAGAATAAAGACCTCTGAACATTTTTTAATGATGTTAGTAAATGAAGTGAATTTTGAAATAGAAGTTAACATTCAAATAAATCGACTACAAACATGCACATGTCCATAATCATAAAAAATGAAATGGTAAAGAAAAGAAAATAAGCGGCAAAAGAAAGTATGGGTTCGTAATTTGTAATTTTCCTAAAAACAGCGATAACTAGTGGAAAGTGGGTATTGGGATTATGTCTGCCCAGGAACAGGTACCAAAAACACCTCACCCAAAGCGCCACCTTTGACGGCGCTCGTGCGGGGACAAAAACATGGTGAAACAGGTTTCCCGCCTATGACAATAACTGCACGTGCATGTTTGCTGTATAAATGCGTTCGTCTGCAGGGTATAACCACACGTGATGAAAGCACACAAAAGAAATGCCATGACTGTCACAGGAGCAGAGAGAGATGGCCGAAATGGGGGCAACACAGGTCCAAATTGCCAGAAGGTTTGGTTGTACACCATTGACAGTAGCCAGGCTGTTTCAACGGTACAGTCAGACAGGGAGGACACAGGACAGGCCTAGAACCGGACGACCCCGAGTGACAACACCACTGGAAGACGGTCAGATACGGCTCCTTCACCTGCGAAACAGATTCGTTACGGCGACGGCGACGGCAGCAACAGCATTGGGACATCCCATTAGCCAACGTACAGTACTACGACGACTTCGTGCTGCTGGAATCCGAGCGTATGGTCCTTTCCGAGGAATGGTACTGACTGCTCAACATCGACGCCTGAGACTGCTATGGGCGAGACAGGTTCGACGCTGGCAAGTGAGAAATTGGCGTCGAGTGCTGTTTACTGATGAAAGTCGGTTTAACTTGTTTCGAAATGACGGCAGAGAACGAGTTTATCGACGCAGAGGGGAACGTTTGGCTCCTGCGTGTATTCGAGAGGTCCATCCATTCGGCGGGGGAGGTGTCATGGTGTGGGGCGGTATTTGTGGAGATCAGAAGACTCATTTGGTGATTATAGAGGGAAACCTGAACGCTGTGCAGTACAGAGACCAAGTGTTGTAGCCAGTTGTGCTTCCGTTCTTACAAAACCAACAGCAGGGGACATTGTTTCAACACGACAATGCCAGGCCCGATACTGCCAGACTGAGTCGGAACTTTCTAAACCAGCAGAACGTTGACGTTTTGCCCTGGCCTGCCCACTCACCCGATATGAATCCTATTGAAGATCTGTGGGACCATCTTGACAGACAGATTAGAGCACGCCATCAGCCTCCCGTCAACAGACAAGAATTGCAGCAGGCCCTGAGAGACGAGTGGCAACGAATTCCAGTCCACGTCATCAGAAAACTGACGTCATCGATGAGGCGGCGTATCACAGCATGCATTGAGGCAGCTGGAGGTCATACACGCTATTGAAGGCAACTGTGTCGACAATGAACTTGTAGTGTAACAATTTTTGGGTGACATTTCAGACAACTTTTGAAAATGAAATTTCTTACCCCACCATTGTTTACTTTGAGCTTACATTACCTGTGATTGTACAATTTCATTCAAACTGTGGTTGATCAATCATTTGTTACCCCTCCCTAGATTATATTATAATTCACAACAAAACCCAGGGTATGAAACTCCCAAAAATTTCAGCCAGACCACAGGACTGGCTAGCTGAAATACTTGCCAGCCCTGACCAAAACCTGCCTGCCCACTATAATCATATGTTTCTCAGGATAAGCTAATGGGGTTTCTTTTTGGTTACATTTTATCATTCATCTTTACATGTGAATTAATGATTATCATCGGGAAATATTTAGAATATTGTCACATATGAAATATAACCCGACCGTCGGGCAGGGGGATTTGAAAATCTGGCAGCCCGAGTTGAAATCAACCCGTCTCGGAAAGTCGGGCAGGCAGGTATTTCGAACACTGCAAAACCTCTTCATGTTATATTTTTATCGATCATGGAACTTGACCTATACTTTCTCTGGCCGCGAAGTTTATGTCCAATGATCAATTTCTCGATGAGGAATTTTAATATTCAGATTATCCAGAAAAATGGTAAATACTCACGTGTCCATCCTATGATATGCCACATTAATATTACTTCTCACATTTTACAGTACATGTTATCATTGTACAAACGAGCAGAAAAAAACTGGAACATTTACATTTATATGAACTACGAACTATCTGTGGAGCCATTAGTGGTGCCAGCCATAACGTGATACTCACAGACATGGGCTTTAAGACACTAGCTCACAGAAGACAGGATATATAATTCATTTATTGATACTAATAATGCACTATGGATCCAGAAAGGTGCCTGTAATCTACTTCAGCTCAAGCCAGGTACCTGTAATCTACTACAACTCAAGCCAGGCACCTGGGCTATTACTGATGGGCACGTGTACAGTGATCTACTTCCTAGCTACAGAATCACGCACCCAGCTGACACAGATTGAATATAGAACATGTAACACTACGCGGACAGACCGTATCACGTGAAGACATGGCCTGGAGA